CGTATTTTGCGGGAAGGGTGTTTGTGGATTTTAATATTGGTATCTCTAATCCATATTGGTATCTCTATCTCTATATCTTTAATATTAAGATGACAACCCCTAGTGTTGGCGAAACATCGAGAACTAATCTCAGAAGACAACGGCCTATCAGCCCGAACAAACAGCCTAATTCAGTTATTTATATTATATTATAAACATTGTGTTGAGGGGGAAACGTATACAAACATTTGGGGTGGGGGCTTTAAGGGAATAAAACTCCCATTAAATTTTTATAGGATGTACAAATTTCACTGTTATTTTTAAGATATTCTGCCATAAGAAAGTCACATGTCCATTTTCAATATAAAACCCTTACAGTTTTCGATATATTGGAAAAAATCGATTTTCATTTCGTAACTTCAAAGACCTGTAACATTTTTTTATATGCACATTTGTACTAAGGTAAGTTAGGTTCAATCGAATTTTTTGATCCCAGAATACGCGATTTAATTTTTAACCTACCTTTTTGTTACACCCTGTATATTCGTATTTATATAATTATGTTTTTATTCACGATTCAATTATTGGGGGCTAATTTTACCTTTATTGAGATATGCATCTTAATAAATCATACCTCCTCAAATTTATTGTTGGTTTCAAAACGAATACAGAAGGACAAATAATATTTAAACAAGCATTAAGATATGGTGTCAATGATCAATGTATAAATACAACATATAACAGAAAATCAAATAATATGGTGTACTTACTTTTCCTCGTTTTTACCATTACTTAAATAAACATAAACGCGAACGCGACAAAGAGACTGATAGGTTACTTTGTGCACATTTAAAATATTTAATAAATATTTAGAATATCTTATCTCCTTGTCCTACATATTTATTTGTTAGTCGTTACTTTTAGAAAGGTATATCTGTATGATTCAAATCGACTTTAACCACCTTAGGTGTGAAGTAGTGCATTATAGATAATAATCTCATGGATCCAAAAAAAATTGTATAAGTACTTCAAATAATTCAGACAGATGTTTGTTTACATTGGAAGTAAAAATATAAAGAGCAAAAAATCGTGTCAGATTATATGTTATTTATTGGTGTAAAATAGTATTCTTATTTTTTACTTCCTAATACCAACACGAGCCTTTAGCGGAAAGAACCCCGGCACTTTTCTGATGTAAAATGTATGTGGACATAAATTTATATACCAAACTTTTATTAATTTTTATGCAGAATCACACCCTGAAGTTGCACGGATTTACTAAAACTCTGTATAGTTTACAAATGTATTATTCAAAAGGACTAAAAACCGACACTTTGAACATCTGTAACTCAAAAAAAAAAATGATTTTTAAGTTTTGGCACAATTTGGATAACTTTTGATCAGCATGACCAAAGCTACCTCTCTGCAAAGTTTCAGCCAAATTAACTGAACTCATTTTTACATAAGAAAATAATATATTAAATAAAAAATATAAATAATAAATAAATATTATAAATTAAATTAATATAAAAAAAATATTTAATAAGCAACAAGAATTAAGCATAAACAGATTTATATTAGACGCAATATTGATCTAACAACAGTAAGGAGCTCAAAACGAAAAATCTGGATTTTGTAATGTGAACGTAGCAAGTGAGTGGGGAGTTGGAATAAAGGGCTAAGTAGCATAGAAAAGATAATAATTATTCGAGATAATTATTATATATTCCAAATTTAATAAGGGAGAATTAATAAAGTAAAGCATACATTTAGGTTACACAAAGAAATTGACCTAGTTAGTGCATTGTTTGATAATTGTTTAAACGTAGAAAAAGCACGTCAAACAGAAACTATTGTTGTAAAAATAACAATACTCGTGACCCAAATGACGCCTAGGACTACAACTCAGCGAAAACACGACCTTGGCACTATACCCGGCATTGAAAATACGAGCTCAATAAAAACAAGAAGAACAGAAGAGTCGACGAGTCAGTAATAGCGAGTCAGTTAGTAATAGCGGCGCACCGTGACTGGCCGCTCAGGCAGTGATCGCCGACTCCGGGTCGGACGCGATAGCGTCCAGTACGCGATCAGTAATAGGCAGTCGGTATGTCTCCAGGGAGTAGTTAAAACGATGGTAGCCAGGCAGTCGGTATGTCTCCGGGGAGTAGTTAACACGCGACATAGTATCTCGTATAAATCAGGTTAGTGGTGAAGTTCGTAACAACGGAGGAGTCCTCTCAACTGACCGAACTCCAGAGGACCGAAGACGTGTCGTTGTTGAAAGTCTAACTACACATAAGGTAACAGATTTCTATATACTAACCTGAGTAATTATAATTATAATTATATATATATATATATATTATATAATATATATATATATATATATATATTATACATATATATATATATATATATATATATATATATATATATTATACATATATATATATATATTATATATATATTATACATATATATATATATATATAAGTTGACTATGTTTATTGGTAGTCATATGCCATCAAGGAAAAATGTGGGGTTTAAAACCAGAGATATTATTTTGGATTAATGACCCCAATGTAAAACCAATAATAACATAGGTATCAGTGTATGGTGGCAAAAGTTGCAAAAAAAGTCCATCTTTAAATTACTGGGGCTTTGAGCATCATACAACAGCAGCTGTTGTGACCCTATTGGACCCCTATCTGTACATCTTTATAAGAGGGCAGGTGATAAAAGAATTCTATTGACTGCGAGAAAACCTGAGCAACATCACTGTTAGATCAGGAAAATTAGTGATGCTGTGTGGATGATGAGTTCTGACCATATGGTGCCCAGACATGGCACTAAAGCAGCTTTCCAGATGGGGCAGATGGAACATACAATCCAGATGGCAGAATTACACTAGGAGCATATACATCTGTATTCCAGGAGGAGATTTATACAATAATTTATTGTGTATGATAATTTAAAGTAAGGACATTTGAACTATAAGCTAATAAGATCAGTAAGCTAGTGGGTATACCAAGAAGAACTTGAATAGACTGGCAAAACATAAAGGATCACACTGATATGGGTACTAGGTCATTAGGGAATGCACAATGAAAAAAGCAAAAATGAGCTAATGAACTTAATAAAAGAGGATCAGCTGCAAAATACTATGCTCCAGTGCCAACAACTGGAAAAAGCCTGTATTCAAAGAGAAAAAATATACCTGGTCAAGCACATGGCACAATATATATTGGATACGCATATGCTTATAGTTGGAAGTACTACAGAAAACAAGCAGCAGACTACATAAATGTAGTAAATTGAATTATCTCTGGGTAAGATTAGGAATTTTAATAAAACAATGTATTTTTAAGCCTAATTGCTTTGACAGACAAATAAGATAAACAGTATAGGCAATTTTAGAAAAACAAGTTGTTACTTTCCTGTGGGAATTCGACTTTAATATTTAAAGCACAAAAATTGAATACTTTAATTATTTTTAAAATAATATCCATTAACAATTCCATCCATAAAAAAGTTTTATTAATTTATAATCTTTTGTTAAACATAATAGTGCACTTTTGGTGACTCCCAAGAACAAATTGGCAAAATATTTAGTTAACAGAAAAAAGAAATCACAATAAGAAATAACAAAGGAGCGGAATAAACAAGGAAATTACTATTTAAATGGGAATAAGCAACAATTAAAGGTTAAAGTACATTTATTGATGTTTCAATTTCTACTTCGGAAATTGTTCTCTGAAGAATTTCTTATTATTATTATTTCTTATTAATTATCCGAGAACGATTTCCGAAGTGGAAATTGAAACATCAATAAACATACTTTAACCTTTAATTGTGGCTTATTCCCATTTAAGTACATAGTAATTACTTTAAAATGCCACAAGAAAATAGCTTCAGAACAATATTAAGAATAAACAAGGAGTTTATATTTTGACTAAAAAACTGTAACCTATTGGTTACTAGTTCATTAAGTTAACAAATATAATATTGACTTATGCAAAATTACCAAAATACTAACAATAACTTAATGTTACTTACATTTTCATCAAATGGTGGTAGAAATATTAGCAAAATATTTTACACAATTGTCAAATATTGACATTTCTAGTAACAAAGTGTCTAATATTAAAAAATAATGGTATAAGGCCAAAACTGTTTTTTGTTGCAGTGTATCATATCATTATCTTTTTTAAATGTGTTTTTATAAATTATTCAGCACAATAAAGGACTTTGGAATACTGTCAATAATTTTTATTTGTGTAAGAATAGTGTATTTAATTTTTGTTAGTAGTAGTGAAGTAGACTTTACTAGTAGTACCAATAGATTACTCTTAAGTCAAATCAATCACATTTCTCTGTGATATGGTCTGCTATCTTATGATTTAATATAACTTTGTGGAATATATCACCTTACCTGCACCTTTTACTTGAGCCTGATGATTTTAGAGTAACTGGTGATTTCAGCTTTTGATTTCTAGTCATATAATTTCAGTTTCTTCTTTAGAAGACTTCAAATACTGATTACATTAAACGAATTATTGTTATTCCAAAGAGTAACAAAGAAAATCATAAAATAATAATAAAAATAGTTAAAGATAAATAAATATATTACTTACTACTGTTGATGCTAGTCAATATAAGATCAAAGACAAGCTGGCTATCAGACCTATGAAGGTAACAAGTAGAACCATTATATGGCCTTAAACCTATGTAGTCATCAAATTAATCTATATAATAGTACCTATCTATGATGTGATCGCTAATAAAGATATTAAAAAAGACAGAATAATACATATTATATACATCTAATAAACTGAGAAAATGGTACTAGTGTAGTAAGACAGAATGATGTGTATGGAGATAAAATTTATATCAATGAATTATTTTTCACCTTCTGATGATTGTACAATGATTTTGCGGTCTTACAGTTTTTGAAATTTTATAATCTATATGCTACATTAATGTATATTGTAGATATATATAAAATAATAAGTGCTTACTTTTGTGGTTAGATTCCTTGTCATTATCACTTTTTTCATGTTTAACCAATTCTTCAATTTTGCTATCAGAACTAAAAAGAACTTTGGATGTTGATAAAAAACGTAGACGTTTTTCGTTTTGCATTTTGGTTCAATATTTTAAAAATATTTTATTTATATTTTGATTCTTATAACCTCAATTGACATCTTGCTCACTTGAACTGTCACTATCAATGTGTTCTGTGCATTACAGTCACTGTCAGTGTCAATTGTCAATTTATTTTATGTTCTGGGTGCATCACTATTCACATGTCTGTGTCACTAATATTTTTTTTATTCACTACTATTGTAGTTTACAACTAACTTCATTATCTGTTAATTACCTATTTAAAACGTTCTTTATGTGGGAAAATCTGAAGATCTTCGTTAATTTTCGCTCTATCTAGCTCTAATTCTAGTATTGACTCGGCCGTGAGCGTCATTAGGTAGGACTCAGACGGCCATGACTCAAACGAAAAGCTTAGTTGTTTTTCAAACTTATTTCACCGGTTATTTTTTGTCACAAAGCTTGCGTAGATTTTTTTAACTATTTATAGTCAGCAAGAAATAATTTTCAGATCGCGCCCTAATATTCCCGAAAATAGTGTTTCATTTTATCGTTAAGTTTTAATAGAGATTTTAATAATACATATATTAGTTTAGTAAACGTATTAAATAAGTCGATTCCAACTAGTCTCAATATTTGAATTTATAAAACGAAACATTAACCACATAATTACTAAATAAAAAATATTTTTCTGATTATGTGGTCATAGACGTGGCTTTGATCAACTGGTTATTCGTATTCAAATACTTTCCAAATCACTTGTTTATTATTTTGGGAATTTGTTTTATTATTAAATGAAGGTTCAATTTATTTTTTGTTGTTTTATTGTTTTTTAAATACAAACTAGTTAAATAAAAAAAATGAATAGCTTTAAGTTCCTGGTGTAACTGGTGTTACAGGCTCCGCATGTGTTAAATCGTAGAAAAAGGAAGAAGACAGGTTATATTCAAAAAATAGTTTTAGGTTATAAATTAATGTTTCCATTTATATAGGAATAGGAAAAATATTACTTTTAGTATCAGTTAATATAAATTATGAATTAAAGAAACATGAGTGTTATCCGTATAAGTCCTTCTATTTGCCAACGGCTATTCGGCTGTAGATATGTATCAACAGTAATTCGTCATGAGGAAGAATACACATCCACTCCAAATTATCCCCCTATTCTCGATCTTTCATACAGACAGAAAAAGGAAAGGAAACATGATAGTTTGTATGAGGAAATTAAAGCAGTGAAAACTATAGAAGAAAAACAGATTAAACTGAATATGCCAAGATATTATGGATTCAAAAGTTATATGTTGCTTGAAGATCGTTGTCATTATAACAACCTACCACTTACACAACATGTTACGAGAACACATCTTAACGTAAATAACGACTTGCCAGAGTTCTACAGAGAGTTAAATGTGGACGAGGCAACTCTACAGAAGTTAAAATCTGAAATAGAAGATGTGATTTCTATAGAAGTAGATGGTTACCAGTAAGATATTGTGTATTACATTATTTAGATTACGTTATATGAAATCTAGCAATTTTTTTTGTATGTGTCATCTCTTATTTGATGTCCAGTAGTTAAGTAATTATATTATCCACCCTCTAATAGCTTTGTCTATTAATCTTCTAAGTTTTGTGGGATGTGTAGCACTTGTATGGCCAGCATAATGGTGTGCAGTAATTTTTAGTGTTGTAATGTAAGATCTTAAATATCTTCCTAGATCCATGACAGTGTGAGATCCTCTTTGATGATTACTTAGCAATAAGTAATTAGTAATCATCAAAGAACTAGTTATCTAAATTTAATAAACAATTATTTGGAGGGCTTTATATAACCCACAATTGTGTTGGGATAGACTTTATTAGTCTGAATATATCAAATAGATGAAAAGATAATTTGTTGACCCAGCTTGGGGTAACTTGTCTTTAGTTTAGCTATACAGTTATCTTCTTGCCAGAACAGAAAACTGACATGGCAGGATTTGAAACTGTTGACCTACATTTTCCATTTTTGAGATCTTAGTAAGAAGCAGTTGCTGCATCTCTGTCTAATTGGCCAGGTTTATTGACCATGTGATTTTCTCATTGGTCATTTAGGTCACTTGGTAGATAAACCTAGCAATTTAGAAAGAGATGCAGTGACCTCTTTGTGTCAAATGGTTGGAAAGTGGTCTCTACATTCCTCTTAGACATAGCATTGAAGATGAGAGTAATCAGTATGATTCCTTTATCTGATAGTTCCTTCATCATCTTCCGTGTTATTTTGTCCAGCCCAGGAGCTTTTCTAATGTTATAAATATTGGATTTCTTGTTGAACTTCATTTTTTGTTTAGTGGTCTGATTACTGGTATGTTCTCTGGAATGTTATTTATGTCCCTTTCAATTTCAATATCTAAATGTTTCTTACTATCCCATTACGATATGTGTTTATCTTCCATCCTCGTGGATAATTTTCTTTCTGCTTTGTTTAGTCGCCCTAAGATGCCACCTTAAAACTATCTGTAGGTGGTCTTTGAGATTCTTCACTATGTCACTATTAGTTCTCGCACCCTCCTAGCATACTATCTTCTTGCATTCGCTAGCTTACTTCGTCTGCTCAACTCATGATCTCAAAAGTCTTTAAAAAAGTATCCCATATACTTACTTTGTATATAAATAAATATTATTTATTGCATTACAAAAGCCCTGACAATGTTTAATAAAGAAAAAACATGCATTGAAAGTAGTGTATTTAAGATACATTTTCACAAAAATCCAAATAAATTGAAAAGATTAAAAATAACCCTATAATAGCTAGTGTTAAATAAAGTGATATAATTTTTTCATAGTTTTTTTTAGTAGTATTGTTCCTATTATATGGAAGTGTATTTAAATTCTTATATTGTAGAAGAACACACGATCTTAAAAATGAAGATATTAATGTGGCTAAAGTTGAAGATATAATTAGTAGTTCCCTTACTAAACAGATCAATAGAATAATATTAAATGAACTGTCATCAAGTTTTCCGCATCTTAAAAACGCAAAGGTGAGTTTAGTGTTTATTAATTGTAAAAACTTTGAAATTTTCCTGTTCTTAATGTTAAATTGTTACTTACTTTTTCTTCTTACCTCACTAATACCAATTTCACTTGATTTTTTATGCTGACAGTTTTCTTATAGTTCTGTAAAGACAGTTCAAGCACTCCTGACCATGGAGCTGTGCGAAGGCGGAGTCAAATTCATTGTAAAGGCAGAAAGGTTTTATTGTAGGTGGAATTATACAGTGCATAGTACAAAGCGTTTGCATGAAAGTGGGGACTAAACCAAATTTGGTCTACTGCGCCGTGGTCAGGAGTACTTGCATGCACTATAACTTTATCTTCTGGTAGAGTTAGAGTCCTGAGGTTGTTAGTATTATGCAATAGTCATCATCTTTAGTAACCTTCATTTGTTGCCTTGCTACCAAAATAACTGGTGGCTTCTGAACTAACCAGATCTGAGGACCTGATTTCCTATTTTGAAAACTCATGAGGGACTTGAGTTTTAAAATAGGAAACTAAAGAACTGAAATATCACAAGGAAGTAGTTTTAAAACAATAATTAAATTTCAGCAAGTTTACATTTCTTTTCATTTTCAGTATCAGAACTGTCATCACTAATGTTTATTTATCAAAGAATTGATATTTTTGTCTCACAAGTTTGGCATTTGAATGAACTATTCCTAAATAAGATATATTGCTTTTTTTAATTGAAATTCATTTATTTGATGTAATTTTTGCTGTTAGCGTAAACACGCATCCAAATAAAAGCAAAAACAGTACTTCTATCAAAAATTTTAAATTCTAATTACATAAAAACACATATCAGTTGCATTTAAAATAGTTTTAAATTAAAATTTCAGATATTCCTCCCCTATAAAATATGCTTTTTGTTAAAATTTTTAATTTTACTTTTAAATAGAGCTCTGGTAAGATCCTTTTAGTTATCAGGCAATTTGTTTATAAAATTTAATTGCCCAATACCCTGATCATATTCGACACCTCTTTAGCATCCAGTAGGCTGGAACAAGAATCACACCTGTGTTTAGTGTTACGATTGTTCACCTCTCCAAGGAGGGCACAATAAGAATTTCCAGAGTACCATGGGCCAATCTGCAATCATACTCAAACCCAAGCCCTGCAAGAAATCTCATAGCCTTACATTGCAAACCAAAGATTCTCGGCATTCCCGTCCGAATGCCCCAGACCAAGATTGCATATGTTAGAGGAGAGTGAAAAACGGCATTATAAGCTGTTCATAAGACCTATTGTGAAACACCCGATGCTAGATATCTGAGCACATATAGCTTATTTGATAGGTTTTTACTCAGATAGTCAATATATGTTGACCCCATTGAAGCTTGGGGTCCAGGTGTACCCCAAGGAACTTCACACTTGTCATATCTGCATTTTCAGCCTGAGTGACCATGGAATTAAAAACAGCCCTGTTGGTCTTTGCTTCATTAAGCAGGAGCCTGTTAACACAGAACCACTCTTTTGTGTCCAACAGTGCAGACCTGGAACCCCTAAGATAGTCCTCAAGTGTGTCAGCTGCAAAGGAGACAGTGGTGTCATCAGTGAAGAGTATGTACCAGTGTAGAACCCTGAGTGTATGTATGTACCAGTGTAGAACACTGAGGAATACCAATATTAACAACACTTCAGTAACCAACACAGACTGTACCCTGTTCTCGAGGTATGATTGGATCAACTGGACGCTCTGTGGACAGAAGTTATACCTTTGCCTTACTCAAATTACAAAACACAACAGTGCTGAATTGCATCCTATGAAAGGATTCCAAGATGCGGAACACTAGGTCAAGAATGCCAAGTGTTGTACTCCTTTACTTCCTGAAACATGCCGTGATTCTGAGAAATAATTATTTTTGTAAAAACTTTTGATTCCCAAAGCCGTGGCCTTTTCTACTATTTTAGAGATGACTGGGAGTAATGCGACAGGTCTATAGTTCTCAGGGACGTCAATGTCCCCTTTTTAAATATGGTCATTATAATAGTCCTTTATAGACTGTTGGAAATGTATTATCTTTAAAGCACTGATTTAATAAGTGTGTAAGAGTTCTTATGATAATATTTTTTATCATCTTAAGAATGCCATAAATATTTTAGCAGTATATACCAAAATATCTCTTTTTGGAAAATCTCTTGAGTGTTTACATTGATGTTTTTCAAAAAATCTATATTTAATTCAGGTGTATCTTTTATTAAGTTGTGGGCATTTGAGAAACATAAGTATTAAACTAATCTTTATTAAATTCAAATTCAATTCTTTATCAATTTAAATTCAATCTTTTTTTTTATTGCAATATCTATAATTTTTGGTCTGTTTTATTAACCAATAATTTTATTATTTAGATTGATATTGATCCCCGAATCGAATCATCTTGGTATTGTGGTGGAATCGATCCCCCAGATTATGTAAAAAAATCCAGAGAAGGAATGAAATGGATGAAGAAGGAAGGACTTGTAGATGATCCATTTGATAGACTTATGGTATATATTGGAAACCCTCTTTTATCATTAAGGTAATTTTATAAAACATGTTTTAAATAGTGCATTTTTTAATGTAATAATACTTTAAGGTCAGAATTACCACTGAAACCAATAGTATCTCATGCAGAATCAGAAAATCCTGAACTGGTCGTACCTGAATTTAATTATGATCCAAGGGTGGTTGGAATTACTTCAGAACACAGGCACATAGCTAATTTACCAGGTATGTCTGTATCAAATAGCAGTAGGTTAATATATTTTGATATTTATTTTGGACATGAATAATTTTATTATACAAATAATGTAATAGTATATATTGACTCTGAGTAATAGCATAAAATTTTATCATTTTATACCATTTTACTCAATAAAAATTTATTTCATATTAAGTTTTTTAAAATGATGGTGTACATCCAATGACAGGGATTTTCCTTTTTAAAAATTGTAAAAATATGTAATTGAGTGTAGCAAAAAAGAGCATAGACAAAAAGAAGGAAAAGAAAACGGTAGAATGGTACAATGAAAAATGAAAACAGGTGCTACTAACAGGTTCTGTGTTTTCGTCCCTGTGTGCGTTGGGTACTTGAGTTCCCGTGTCCACTACAAAGGGTCGCCCGGGAGGAGACTAGACATGAATTTGTTCAGTAAAGATACATCTCAAATATATGTAGGAGAGGCTTAAGGTACTATAATGGTAAAATATAATTGGATATGGTAAAAGACGTCGTGATTCAATAATACATGGAAAGAAGAGATACCATATCTTGGACACACAAGTACCTCAGACAAATAAAAACAGAAGAATTATGTAAACCTAATAAGTATAAGTACCTATGAGTCTTAAACTAACGTCGGTGCTTCAGTCAAAAAGGAATGAAGGGGCACATCGATCAAGAATCCTCGAGATACCTTCATAAAAGGATTCTATACTGGACTGAAAGCTCCAACTTAAAGAGATTTACCCAAAGAGGTCCTCGGTTTGTTCTTCTTATGCTGGAAGTGAAACTGGTTTTGTGGCATGGGCCGAATTAACTTTCTTGGCCAATGGGAACCGCTGATTACCACGACGAAATTAACAGGGATCTATATGAAGAATGGTTTGAGAAGATGTTAATTCCAAACTTGCGAAAGACAAAGAAGAAGTTGTCGTTTTAAATAATGCGTCGTACCACTCCCACAAATTTGATTTTCCCCGAAAAAATTGTGGAACAAAAGGCAAATCAACGAGATTCAACTACAAAATATTAATTTCTGAAATCTCGACCAATTTCTATTGGGGATGGAACTTTTGATATAAAACTTACTGAGGAATCCTCAAGGTCGACAGTGAAGAGTTCCTACTTTGTCAAGAAAAAGATGTTGTCCGCGTACTAACTACCCATGTGATGTTACTATTTTCGGCTATACTGAGAAAATTATAATAACCAATGACTTAATGAATGCTACCAATAATGGAAGTGGTAAAGATGATTGACGAGGTAAATGATCTTCTTTCAGTGCCCTGTCAGATTAGTGAACGTTGACGATTATATTGGCAATAATAACTTTTTTAACGGTAACTCGAATCAGATTAGCGGATGTGTATTGATACCACTCTCGGATATTTCGGAGTCAGGATGTTTTTTCTTCGGCCTGGGCCTCTCCCTTTCGGCGATCTTACCCTGTATTATTCTGTTCTCTTTATAATTCGGTGTCTATTATATTTCTTATTTGATCAATCCAACTTATTCTCAATATTTGTCGGTAAATCCACATCTCAAGGACCTCCAATTTTTTATTAATGTTTCTGTAAAAGTCCAGTTCTCCATGCCGTACAGCAATGTGGAGAATATGTAGCAACATATTTAATCTGATTTCAAAGTTCAATGTAATAGCTCTCATATAAATGAGTATTTTCTTTAGTTTATAAAAGGCGGCTCAAGCCTTCAAGCATTTTTTCAATGCGTATTCTTATTTCTTTGTTCATATCCCAGTTATCGTTAACGTTATCGTCCAAATAGTGTGATATTCGACGATGTTCTCAACTTTATTCCATTACACTATCATGTTCATTGGTGGTAACTCTGTTTTGGTCAACCTGTTATAAGTCGTTGCAACTCATTTTCATTGAAAGCGATCAGTACTGTGTCGTCTGCGTAAATGTCTGGCGTAAATGATAAAAAGGTTTTGATGGCAAAACCTGAAGGCGTGAACTTGAGGCAACCTGCTATCAAATTAAATACATTGTACTCATGTAACGTCGATGCTGCTAGTTTAATTTCCGTTACAATATATTTAGTCCAAATCTCAATTTGTCTTAAATACGAGTATATTTTTTTCAAAATTGAAAAATTTAATTTCAATTAAATTTAAAAATTTACACAACTGTTTTGAAAAGTACCAGCCATCGGTCTATATCTGTAGATATTATAGTATATTCAACCTGTGATGAGTTGCAGAATGCATGTGCTGACTTCGCCCCGTGCGTGACTGATGCGTCACCTACCGCCTTCATCTGACAATTTTGGAGTCCCAATTTTCAGGTTAAATATATGACATATGTTTGACATTGTTAAATACATGCGAAATTGACAATTATTAATAAATTAGTTTTTTAACTATATTTTTTCTGTTTATGTACAAAATAAATGTAGTATTAAAAACTGAGTTTCTCAAAATTCATCATAATATATCTTTTCAACTCCAAACGGAAAAGAAAGGGAAAAATCTAGTACTGGCAAATCAAGTTTTTCACGCAAAAAAGCATATAATTAAAAACAATAATAGTAAAAGTTATGATATAAAAGCTTAAAGTCATCTGCAGTTAGATTGAAGCCTTATGAAATATCATTCAAGGTAAATTATTTATATTTTTGCTATTTCAATTGCATAAAAATGAAATTATGTGATATTTTACTTTTTCATATTAATAGCACGAATTCATCTTTTTCTTTTCCTAATTTATATGTAATCTTTGGGAACCTATAAAAACTACACTCACTGTTTTTGCTTTTATTAGCAGAATTAAATACGCAACATGTATTTGCACACATTTTTGATAAAACTTATGCGTAAAAATATTTTGTCCAATATTCCAATTTTGTCATATTTCGCCGTACGCACGCTGGCATCGTTTCAATGTACCCCTACATGGTCAACGCATGGAGCGAATATGTTCCTTTATTTAACTTATATCACTATACATGATACTAAGACTAAAAAGATAAGAAATTGCGATTAAGTCGTGACGTCATTGGAGAGTTTGACGTTCGAAATGTCAGTTTTTTGTATGTATCAATAAATAATCTTTAATAAATAGTTTGGAGATATCCTTATGTGTACGATTATTGTAATTATTAAACTTCTTAACTTATTTTCGTCTAGTTATTTCATCACAGAATGCATACAAATCCCATTTAACTTTAACAAGAATTCAAATTCTACTCTCCAATGACGGCATGCGCGAACACGACCTATTTTGTGCTACGGGAAGATCCTATCTTGTTAGTCATAGTATCATGTCACTATATGTTTATTAGTCAATTTTTTTTCAGGGTTTTGGCCTGATGATGATAACAAATTCGGTCTCATATCTTACCACAAACGTGGCTATATGCATCACCGACAAAGGTACAGAGATGCTCAAGATGATAAAGAAGCGATTCATCGTAATGGAGTTTTGGCCTCGTTCGGGTGGTTGCAAGCGCAAGCCAACTTTTTGGGCTTCAATACATACAACGATTTAACTTATCCCCTTGTTACCCAGACAGTTGTAACTGATGGCAAAAACTGGTCGTTTTACGCTTATCAGTTAAATACGATTGTTTTCTGTGAAAGGTATGTACATATTATGAATTTTATAAAATAACTAAAAGTAACTACAACTAATAAGTGTTAAACTTATGTCTTCCTTATCGTTTTTTAGAGAATTTCAATACGTACTGAGTTTCCACATATTTCACCAGTCATCGACTAATACTTCCAGACTCCTCCATAATATTGTAATGTTTATATTAGTATCTTTATTTACAGTCTTTTTTATTATTTAAACGTTCTAACAGTTAGTTAATTTAGTCTTTATTTACACTCATTCTAATTCTATAAAAACACAATAATTGATAATACTTTATTATACAATATTTATTTTAAGACTAAAGCTAACAATTAAGTTTCGTATCTTATATACTTATCCAACTGTTCTGGAACTTTCTCGATGCCGGCTCTGGATCGCCGTAGAAATTTCGACCTGTTCTATGGACTTCTCGAAGCCAGCCTACGCGGCATCATGGTTTTATTTGAAGAGGCTCGTCCTGTTAGTAAATGCCGGCTTTTGGCAGTATTTTCTCAAACTCTGGTCAGGGCTGGCGTTACAATATGCCACCACAATATAAACCAGTGTGGTCTAACCCCAGGCACGCGGGCCGCATGCGGCCCGAGGCACGTTAAACTGCGGCCCCCGCAAACACATTTCAAAATATTGCCATTGATAACTTTTACCTGTTCCAACCCTCTCTAACTTTCCGTAAACTTAAGAAAGTAGTTAACCTTGAACACCCACTTCCGATGAGCGGGCAGTTAGCTTCAGTCAGCTGCACGTGTCGTGTTAAATTAACAGTGGCGAATAAATTTAATAATTGATGGATTCGACCGTTACTTGATGGAAATTTATTTTATGTAACAATAAAACACTGAAAACCTTGTTTTCAAACTCCCACAAAATTTATTTTAACTCTTATCACTATAGCTGTTTCGGCTGATTGCCTTTCTCAAGTGATCTATTTTTGGCTTGGGTTTACAAATTTATAGTCTCTAATGAAATAGGTTGAGGAGGGAGAACTGTTTGTCTCAAGTTGGTCATACAGAAATATATCTGTGTTTTTTAATTTGTTGATTTCCATAGATTCTAACAAAGATAACTTAAGGCCTTTATTTTGAATGTGAAGAATTTTAAATTTGTCATTAAAAGAATGATTATGATCTAGAAGGTGAAGTGCGTGTGTCGAATCTGTTTTTCTATTATTGAAAGCCCTTTTATGTTCTGCTATTCGTTTATTAAAGTTTCTACCAGTTTGACCGATGTAAGTTTTTGGGCAGTCGCCACATTGAAGTTTGTACAAACTACTATTTAACTGTTTTTTATTTTGGCTCTTGTTATTTTTAATATATATGCCTAGGTTGTTATTTGTTCGGAAAGCTGGTGTTATTCCTTTCTTTTTTATGTGTTTGGCAATTTTTGTCGTTATTTTACCTGTATATGTAATCGAGCAGAAGGTACTGGGTTTTTTCTCTGGTGGTGGAAATACTAATTTCAGGGCTTTCTTGTCTAGTTTTTGATTTAACATTTTATTAATTGTTTGTTCGTTGTATCCGTTGTTTACTGTTATTTGCTTAATTATATTTAATTCTGTGTCAAAGTTGTATTTTGACATCGGAATTTCTGTTAATCTATGTAACATACTAAAGCTGCCAGTTTGTGTTGTGTTGGATGGGATGATGAATTGTGTATAGTCGTGTCAGTATGGGTAGGTTTATGAAATATGGAGAAGTCATGTTTGTTTTGAAGTCTGCTAATTTTTAATTCTAAAAAATTTATGGATTGATTTTGTTCTGTTTCTATTGTAAATTCAATATGACTATGAAGTGAATATGAAGTGTAGGAGGGATACTAGGAAAAATATTTTTTACGTGAAATGAAATTAATACTTAAACAGAAAGGAGGTCGTACTACCTCATTTTAAAGGTTGTTCGATTCTTTTTACATTGATGTTTGATGTACTTACGGTCAATAATTCATGTTTTTTAAAGAACGCCGTTCATATTCCTCACCGAGAAATTAACAAAAATGATTTGGACGGTCATTAGTGGGATTATTACGTGTAGCCGTATCTAATGTCACCTGTACTTCATCTAATTTACATAACGATGCACGTCATTATCTACGTCAGAGATCGAAGTTGACATAGTTGCCAAAGTATAAAAAAATCCTGACTCCATTTTAAATCAAATAGATCACATAATTATTGCAAAAGTATTACCATCTCTTTACAAAGACTATTTAAATTCTTACGTGACATTTTTGAAATAAAACACACTAATTTTGTTCTAAAATGAACAGATTTTATTATATAGGTAAAAATATAAAACAAGAGGTACTCACTTTAAAATTCAAAATAATAAAGTACAAAAAGTGTCAACACCGCAACTGTCAAATAAGTGTTACCAATGTATGCCAAAATTTCACTTTCGTTCGATTACAGTTACAGTGTTCCGAACAAATGTTGTTCATTAAAAAGCTTTATAATGCATTTATACAAATTAAATTAAACATGTGTATTTCTTTAAGTTAACATTAATAGATATTTTTAGATATTATTTCTACGCGTATATAATAAAATATGTCTAGTGGCTGTAATGCCTGTGTACTTGGCAAATGTGATTCTCAAAAAGAATACACCTACTGCCTAAATATTTCGTGTTGGTATCATGTGACGTCACAGGCTATGACGCCGATGACGTGCATCGGTATGTAAATTAGATGAAGTATATGTACAACCTAAAACTAAATGGTTATAGGACTGAAAACCATTCTTCCCTCCTGACTCATTTAAAATACTCTTTGTACCTTTTTATGGCTTATATTTTTAATTATAAACTTGAAGACACTTCGTTATGAGTATTTTCGTTTTAAACATTATTTAATTGTAGGTTTTACAAAGAAAACCGGAAAAGAAACATATGCTGGGGCACCCCCGAAATGCAGCTATTTGATTCGATCCAGGATGGTAAGGTGATCGGTCTTAACGATGAAGTTCTCAAAAATATCCTTAAATTTTACATAAATCAATCGGAAAGTAGACTAGGCGTTAACTTAACTCCATATTTAAGCAGCAAAGAAAGAGTTGTTGCCGATTACGAAGATGATGAAAAGAGAGAATGGTTGGAAGGTGTTTATAAATACATAACATCCAATCGACCAAGACATAGGTTGGGTTATGAAATTTACCCATGGGAAAAGATTTACAAGATCGACAACAAAACGAGGTTTATGGATAAGAAATTAAGACCATTTGAACTACTTCAAAATCCATATAATAGGAAACTCAATGAAAGAACGAAGAGATATGTACCTAGGAAATTTAGAGAGCATCTGAAAAAATGGGAAGGTAAATTTGCAAATGAATATTGGCCTTAAATATATTTTTTTGTTAAATATTGTTTTAAAATAAATAGATTTAAAAATTTTATTTGTATTATTTAAGCATTTTTTATAACATAAATTATGACAAGCGAGATCCGGTACGTCATTTGTGCAAAAATAGGAAAGAAACTTTTCAGAAAGAGATGGAACACATTTTCTCCTAAGAACAATATAGATGCAACTAGGTTTTGTTAAGATCCGAGCAGAATAAATGTTGTTGGCCCAAAAGAAACAGCTGCTCATAGAGCAACTATTGAATCTGGGAAAGAAATATCACTTTGTTGCTAGATGCAAGCGTGACGAGCGAAAAATTATCACTGCATATTGTACTTAATCGAAAGAATGTGTGGGACTTATGGTCGCCAGAAAGGATGAAAATATGCTGGAATAACATATTCGGTCGCAAAAAATGGATCGACGCGGAAACGTTTCAAAATTATTTCAAAAACAATTTGAAAGAAACATAACCCAGGACCGATCTATTCTTTTATCTGCAATGGCCATAGCTCTCATTTTACCTCTCATCTCACTTGTGCAAATGGCAAGACAAGAAACATGCACATTTTTAAACTTCGTAAATTTCTAAACTAAACATTTTCGGCTTTTAAAAATAAAATAGGAGAAGTAACTTATTAATTGGCAACGAAAAAATTATGGATAAAAACTTGCCAGATGTAGCTGCATGCACTTATAATGCAGTAGATCAATCACAGACAGTCGTAATACCCACACCACCAAAATCGCAAACGAAGACCGTATGTCTGATGGCGGAGCCTGAACATCTTTAAATCATCGACAGAAAAAGTTTGATGAGTTGCTTTTAGAGCAAATAAAATAAAGATCAAAAACTACCACCAGAAGAAAAAGAATCTGATGTGGTACTGAAGTAATCACTTCATAAGACGCCGTTGCTAAACTGGAAGAAATCCAAAACCAGCACGCAGCGGCTTGAAAACCCCATCAAAATAAAAATGATTAAAAAAAAATAGCTGAGGATAATAGTAGCGGGTATAAGTCAGAAAAAGAGAATATTCGACACAAAAATAAAAATAAGCAGAAAAAGTCGACGAAAAAGATATGCATGCTTATTTTCAGAAGACAGTAGTGATGACAACAGTATTGAAGATAAACAAAGCCATTCTACCGTAGATGAAGTGCCTAATTAAATGCAACTAGAGTTGATAGACTGCCACAATCCCCAGACAATGGCTGAAATCAACCTTTGTAGCAATTCCCAAAAAACCAAGTTCAACAACTTGCTCAGACCACAGAACAATAGCTTTAATGAGTCACACACTTAAAACATTTTTGAAAATAATTCACAGCAGAATTGTTAAAACTCTTGAATATGATATTAGTGATACACAATTTGGCTTTAGAAATGGTATGAGTACAAGAGATGCTTTGTTCGGCTTGAATGTGCTGGCTCAGAGATGTATGGACATGAATCAGGATATGTACTTATGTTTTGTAGACTTTGAAAAGGCATTTGATAAAGTTCAACATAAAATGCTGGTAGATATATTAAAAAGCAAAAATATTGACAGTCGTGATCTGAAAATTATATCTAATTTATATTGGAATCAAACTGCCAAGGTAAGAGTTGACAGCCAGTACACCGAAAATATCAAAATACAGAGAGGAGTCCGCCAGAGTTGCGTGCTGTCCCCACTACTTTTCAATGTCTACAGTGAAGCGGTATTTCAAGAAGCGCTCTCAGACTCAATAGAAGGTATATCTATCAATGGAGAAGTTTTGAATAACTTACGTTTTGCAGACGATACAGTAATAATTACGGATAACAACAATGATTTACAGAACCTAATGCAACGCCTTAATGAACGCTGTCATGAGTACGGACTGAAGATAAATTTAAAGAAAACTAAATGCATGATCATGACTAAATCTGCACATGCAAATATCCAATTGTCTATTGAAGATACTGCAATTGAGAATGTTAATAACTATAAATATTTAGGAACATGGATAACATCAGATGTAGACCAAACCAAAGAAATTAAGACACGTATTGAAATAGCACGTACATCATTTATTAAACTTAAAAAGTTTCTTTGTTGTCGGGATATAAGGTTAGAACTACGCCTGAGAATGCTTCGATGTTACGTGTTCTCTACTCTTCTTTATGGTCTGGAAGCTTGGACACTAAAACAAGTTCATCTGAATAAGCTGGCCGCCTTTGAATTTTGGTGTTACAGAAGAATCCTACGAATATCATGGATTCAAAGAATGTCAAACATGGAAGTAACTAGAAGGATAGAAAATGAGGCGGAAATAATATTAACTATTAAAAGACGAAAACTTGAGTACTTGGGACATGTGATGAGAGGGCAAAAATACGCATTATTACAACTTATTATGCAGGGCAAAATCCGAGGAAAGCGAAATGTGGGAAGACGAAGAATATCCTGGCTTAAGAACTTAAGGGAATGGTTTGAATGCAGTAGTGCAGAACTTTTTAGAGCGGCAGTCAACAGAGTCCGCATAGCCATGATGATTTCCAACCTTCGATAGAAGATGGAACTTATAGAAGAAGACTTGACAAAAATAATCGTGGGTGATTGGATTGTGGTTAAATTCAATCAGAAGAAACAGGTTTAAATGTATGTAGGTCACCGAAGAGAAAAAGCTGAGCAAAATTTTGTCGGCGTATTAGTTAGCCACATTTCATTGGCCTGTTGTATACGATAAAAGCTTAATCAATGAATATGAGATTTTTATGCGCTTACCCTCTCCTGCAATAGAAAAAAGAGGAAAACGAGTATTTAATGTGGATTATGTAATGAATTTAATATTGCAAATAAATATTTTTTTGCATATATCAAGGCTAATTATTTACCCTTACCTTACCCCGGAAAATTTGCTTACATTCTAATAGTAAAAATGTGCCTCAGGTTGCACTTACCCAAACCAGTGGAGTAAGTGTAACCCATGGACCGCAAAAATAAAAAAGCAACAACATAAAATTGGAAGATGTGATTCGCTCATTATGTTTGTGTAGCAGTTAGTTAATGTCTTGCTAAAAATAAGTCAGATTTAGAGACATATTTTTTCTCAATGCACTTCAGATTCTGTATATTGTTTAGTTTTTTTTCTTCTAATTGTGCCTATCTTCTAGAGATATTGGCGACCACATTGACCCATTTTATTTTATTCGCAGCAGCTCGAAATAGATCAGTTGACGTTAAACCAGATCACTTCATAAGATTGGCCACCCAGGATATACGTCTACGTCCATGAGGAATTTTTGATAAATTTCAAAAATAGTATCTTTATTTTATACTTAATTTTTTTCAAAACTAAACATTCTAAACCAGTTAAACTTTCAGAATGTATTGTTTGTATAGAAATAAAGTAAATTGAAAATGAACAATGAATAGTCTCATCCAAGTTGGTATTGACGGGGGTGAATTTCTTAACTTACGTTAAGAAATCAAAACTTAACTTACGTTACGAAAGAAATGTAAATCACTTTTACCAGTGATTAAAAAAAGGTTTTTATGAAGAACTTATCGTTTTCTGAATATTCAACATCATATGTTTGGATTTTGTATTCGATAAATAAGTCTACTTTCGAAAAACCATAACTTTGTTAATATTAAGTTTACGATAATAATAAATTTTTCAAGTTATTGCAAAAAAACCCTTGACAAACGTGCTCTTTTGACGTGCAATTTTGGAACTTTCAGTCACGAATAACTCCAAAAATATTGACTTTTCGAAAAACCTCTAAATAATATTTTTGTCTGAAAATACACTATTTTAAACGACTACCACATATTGGAAGATATGTCAAAATTTCAAGCAAAATGGCTCATTAAGCTGATAGTTCAGAAATCATTGCGGGATATAGATTTTGTTTTCTGTAGTAATAAACGTCAACGTCAGCCATGTTCTTGGTATTACTCTTCTTAAATATGTCATTAAAATATTTTTATTAGGCGTTGTGTACCACCGGTGTGAAAGAGCTGTAAGAGTTTAGCATATGCATCGTCAGGTCCAGGAGCATTGACATGTTTTGGTTGTGCTATTGCTTTTTCCACTTCATCTGTGATTGGTAGGTGGTCATTAGACATGGAGGTTGTTAGGATTTATTATCACCAAAGAATTCTTGTGTGTATTCTCTGCCTTTAATTGCCTTTGGTGTGGAATATTTTATAGTAGGCTGCACTAAGTTCTTTATGCATTTTTGGACACCTTTTATTACAAGGCTTTATGTCCCCTTTGTATCAGATCGTTTTTGGCAAGACTCTGTCGAGACTTTGTCGGCAATCTCGATACTAGCAATGTCTTTATGCTCTAACACCTGTATTACTTCGTCAGTTGCTCAAGGTACTGTTTATAGTTCCAAGCTGTTATATTTTGTGACCAAGTGGTATTCACTTGCACACTTTACAGCTGAAGTGTTTCATATAAGCATACCTGCATTCACTTAGTAACTGTCAAAAGGAATCCAAGCAATTAAAATATATGATCTTCTTGTGGGTACATATGAGTTATTAGAATAACCGTTAGAGGTAAATAAAACAAATTCATATATAAATTATTTTCTTTATTTATATTTTAAGGATATGATAATACCCCTTTTGGTGCTGTAGATCTTTTCTGTACACTATTTACACACTTGAATTTCTGATTCTGATTGTCTATCTTTAAACATTTTAACAAGTCTAAAATTGAGTATTAACAAGATTATATAAGGTCTCTTCAATAAAATAAATTAGTTTTTTTATATAAAAAATCTCCCGAATTTTACTAAATATCTGCAGACCAGATTTTTACAGTAACGCAAATTCTTTTTGTTAAAAATCAAAATGGAAAGACATAAAAACAAAATAAATAACAAACAGTTACTTATTTAAAAAATAGCAGATGAAAAAGTTTTAGATAGAAAATAACGATAATTATTTTCTCTCAAATCCACTCCAACTGTCAATCTCCTTGAAAATTGTTATTATTTTTATCATTGATTGTGTTTTATTATAATTATGACCAAGCAACGATGTAGTCTAGTCACTAATGAAA